TATTACTGTTTTATTAATTTCAATGATAGCTTTGTAATGTTTATTCTTATATGATTCTTTTTTTTCTTCTTTTCTACACTTAGTACTTAATTTCGAGGCGAAAACCTTGTCTACTCCACCCATTGACGAACTCATGCGATCTTCTCTTTGTGACCTAAGAAATTCTTTATCTTCTTGTGATACGCTAGACATTTCCATAAAATTTTTCCGGGAAATGTCAAATAACTCGACGAGGTCACCTTTCCAAATCTGCCTTCTCACATTTGCTTTATCCGTGTTTCTTGATTTCTCTTTACCCATATTTCTGTATTCTTTGTACAGTTTCTGTATACCAGCACGGATATTCTCCTCCGTCTTAACAGGAATATTTGCTTTCCTCCACACTTCCTGTAGTTTAGTACTGGTAGATTTAGCAGCACCCGAAAGTGTTTCTTTCATTTCCTTGTGACGGTAAATAAAAACTAAAAGTACTTGTTCCTTTGAAGGGAGCCGCGCTCCTAAAAACTCATCACTAGGCAACTTTTCTAGCAGCCAAATTCCTCTTTTGGTTCCCATTTTAAAGTTTAATTTCGGTTCTATAACTGAGGTTGTCAATTGTTGTAAGGGAATTTAAACCAATTTGAGTATACCTATTTATAAATGCAGAGATTAATATGGATTAATGTAATTACAATAACAATTATTATTTTACCTTACAAATAAAATGAAATGTTGTATTTTACCTTACAAATTAAATGATCTTAAATTAAATAACCTTGCAAATAAAATAAAACTGGTTCAAACAAATTCCTTTCCAACAAAATTCCGGATACCTAAATTTCACTAGTATGAGATAAAAGTGGTCAATGTGTGCCACCCCTAAATATTATCCAATCTTCTTAAAATTTGGCATATATATCTTTTTCATCACTGAGACTCGGGGCGTAAGCAAAGTCGTATGAAAATCACATCTTTGGAAAAATGAAACACCCTAGTATACACGTTCGGATGTGGGCTCGCCTTAACTTCATAGGGGCCAGAGTATAAGGGACACAGATCGTTTCAAACCTGCATCTGAGGTCGGGCATTCGCGCAAGAGCACCCAATCGCCTACGGCGAAGCGGTCAGCTTCCTGACACTTTTGTTGTTGCCGTCTGGCACGTTTTAAGAGGTTTTGTTTGGCCTGTTCACGAATTTCCGTAACAGTTAGCCCTGTAGAAGGTGACAATCGGGAGTGGATGGCATCCCACAGAACATTTACTGGGTTTTCCCCATAAAGAATCTCGTACGGAGAAAAACCGGTAGATAGATGAGGCGTAGAATTGAATAGATCCTGGCAGGAGCCCACTAAATCAGCCCACCCGGTATGTTTGCGAGAGCAATAGGTCCTAAAAATGCGACCTAACTCCTTCATAACCCTTTCACTAGGGTTGGAGGCGGGGTGACGAATTGAAGATAGCTTGACTTGAATTCCTACATCTTTTAAAGTAGATTGCCAGAGGCGAGACGTGATCAGAAACGATCTTTTGAATAGTAATGAAGTGTGCAAAATCCCCCAATACCTTTTTGACAGCCAATTTAGCAACCTGGCGGCGCATAGGGTACAACCTTACAAACTTTGAGAAAGTGTCGATAACCACAAATATATGTGTTACTCTGGCACGCCCCTCAGGGAGTGGTCCGAAGAAATCACACGTAACTAATTCACCTATCCGCGTAGCTATAACCGGGTTAGTAGGCCCCACAAGGTAACGATTTGGGTATTTATTAACCTGGCATACATGACAGGAACGTATCTATTGCCGCAATCGGGAGCGAAGATGGTCGACATAAATCAGTGGTCTCAGAAGAATATACAATTTATTTACCCCAAAATGGCCGTACATTTCATGGTAAGCCTGGAAAAAACTAGTGCAAAGGGATTGGGGTAGAATTAGCAGTACCGGGCCAGATTCGTTAACCTGGAAGCACAAGAGAGTTTTGTGGAGGAAGCAATGCGGTAAAACTCTATCCTGTCGATGATTTAACGTCACCGCCATTCCAGATAAAATGGAATGGATTGGGCCGAATAAGGGGTCAGCACTTTGATGCTGTGGTAAGTTGCCAAACTCGGTGTGGAGCTGTGGAAGCTGGGAAATATCGAAAAGGTCGCAAAGTTTGGTTTGCAAACTGAAATGAGCAACTATGGGTTCCCGGTCTTTCGCCGCTACATATTCGGAGTTGGTGGGTTGGCGGGACAGCAACAACATTCTCCTTACCCCGGAAATGTTCAACTGTATAATCGAACTCATTCAAATACATTACCCAACGCGTTAATATATCATTTAACAACCTACTCTGCTTAAGGAATTTTAGGGCATGATGATCGGTACGGATTATGACACGATGACCCAACAATAGGGTGCGGTATTTTTTTAGTCCAAAGATAATGGCTAAAAGTTTCTTTTCAATCACTGTGTACAACAATTCAGCCCCACTAAGAACCCGACTAGCATACCCAATGACCAAATGCTCACCTTCAGCACCCTCTTGGTATACCTCCGCGCCTAAAGCATACCCCGAGCTATCTGTCTGCAGAAAAAAAAGGTTTTCCATACTCCGGAAAACGCAGCATTACCGTATGCAGAAATAGTTCCTTGACATGTCGAAAAGCCTTAATTTCACCGGGACCCCACTCCCATTTTACAGATTTACGCAGTAGACGCGTTAAAGGTAATAGTGCATCACTGTAATTTTGGACAAAACGTCGATAAAACCCACAGAGTCCCATAAAACCCCGTAACTGTTTGATATTCTTGTGGTCCGGAAACTTGGCAATGCACTCCACCTTATCAGTGTCCGTCCGGATGCCTTGGGATGTCAGCAGATGCTCCAAGAACTTAACCTCAGATTTTACAAAGTGCGTTTTGGAGAAATTTACCGTCAAGTTGGCTGATTGCAACCTCTCGAATACCGAAGTAAGATGGAAAATGTGATCGTCGAAATTATCGGAGGCAACCAAGATATCATCAATGTAGTTGAATACATTTTCTCGGAGTTCGGAACCCAGAATGATATCCATGGCCCGCGAGAAACTACCCACTGAAACCTTTAACCCAAAGGGAAGAACTTGATAAGTGTAACTGCGATGATTGTACATAAACCCCGTGAATTTGGTAGAGTCTGGGTGCAAGGCTATTTGCCAGTACGAGGCTACATTCGCTCTATTTCCGAATCGACAGCTTCACGTAGACTGAATGGGACAGGGTAAGTTTTCCTTAGGAATGGCGTTTCGTCAGCCATGAGAATTTTATGTTTGTACAGGGAAGTAAGTCCGGGTTGGTCGCTGAACAAGTCTCGGAACTGAAGGAGAAGTTTGTGCAGCCGATCGCTTTGAAGGAGGGACAAAGGCAATAACGCCATCCGGGCGTTGACTTGGGACTCGAAACGGGGGCAATAGCTTCAATAGCGGTATTTAGGGGCGATGAGGGGGTCGGCACGCACAGGGGTTTCACACTGAAAGGGATATAAACCGGGGCTTCCACACCTAAAATGAGAGTATCACTATAAAAATCAATTTTTCCCTGTACCTCGTACATCCAATCGACACCCAGGATTACCGGACGAATCAAATGTTTTACTACCATAAAGACATGAGAAAACAAAAGAAACGTGTTAGGGGGGATTTGGAATTCCAGACATACCTGATAACGGATTCGGGTGCTAAGATGTCCAGCAGCTCCTCTTTACTGAGTGGCAAAGACGGGAAGCACTAAAGGTTTTCCCTTTTTTTTAAATTCTCAAACACCTCCTCATTAATGCAAGACAATTCACACCCCGAATCGACCAGAGCCAATATCGAGAGCCCGAAGCATGAAAGGGAAATATGGGGTAGTTGTTTTACAGTCTGAGGCTCTGTCAGATTCTCTAGAGCGCTTAAGGGTACCAAAGTATAAGCCCCATCCCCTATTTTAATAACCTCCAACGAGGTTGGCAAACCCCCACCATTTTTTCCACAAAGTGATCCAGGTTTCCAGCCCAAACGAGTCATGAGTCGAAAACCCTTAGGCGACATTTCCCTGAGGTCCGTTTCAAGGGCAGGAGAAATGCAGTATTTGTGCTTCGGGGAGTTAAAAAACGAAAATGTGGAAGCTGAGGTGGTTCCCGGGGAAAATCTCCACTTTATTTTCCCCGGGGAAAGTTTCCCGCGCGTGGAGGAGGTGATTTGGGGTCGAAAGATGCAGGGAGTGTGGCCGTGGAGGAAGATGGCTTACTCAAGGCGACGTATCGCTCGAAAAAATTTAGGGTCCCCTGGAAACTTCGATCAGTTGACGCGATCCACAATGATTGAACGCCCTAGGGAAATTGTTGTAAAATCTCATAAACAATTTCAACTTCACTTAGATTTGGACTTAGGCCCTTAAGACTACCATACTGCTTCATGAAGAATTCAGTCATGCTAGCTCTTCTATCCCGATGGGACTTTATGCCCAAAACATGTCGCCGTAAGTAAGTTTGTTTTTCGGGGGACCAAAAAAAGGATAAAAATTCGGTGCTAAATTGGTTAAAATCGATACCACTCGATAGAGTGTTTGCCCAAACGGCGGCTGAATGGTGAAGGCAATTTTTCACAAACAAGACAAGGTTGGCCTGAGGGATTTGGCAGACCCTCACTATATTCTTTAACATGTGAAAGAAATTTAACCGGGTTTTCCTGAGGAAAAGCTGAGAAAGTGGGCTTCCGACAGAGATTGTCGACATCGCCAAAATGGCGAGTCGATAGGGATATGATTACTTGGCGAACCTCTTGATCCGAAAAAGTTACATTACCCGTTACAGGGGCCACACCAGTCAACGGCGCGAAACCTATCCGGGGCCGACTACAAACTCCCAAAGGGGTGGAAGCAAAAATATTATGAGCAAACTCACCAGCTATAGGCGATGCTCCTCACGCGAATGCCTCATCCTCGTGCTTGTGCTCTGCCCCTCAACGTGGCTGCATAACCTTTGGATCAGATTCGTTTGCATGCTGACGGCCTCCTTTAGTTGCGCAAGTTCCTGATCCAGAATTTGCAAACGAGTTCTGTCGTCGAGATTTGACTCCGCCAATAAACCTCTTCCGACGACAGGGACAGCAGAACTCGCAGGATTGACATGTCCCAGCGAAGGATCTCCACCAAAATCAAGGCGACCAGTAGGTCGGTCCTGGTCAGCCGAACTATGGTCCACAGGAAGGCGCCCGACAGTGGAATGGACTGCAGGAATGAGCCCAGTAGGGTTGAGTCCAGCAGGACTGTGTTCAGCCGGCTGGAATTCAGCAGGATGATCCTTCCGAGCAAGTTCATCAGGGTGACGCGGAAAGTTGAGTCCTGCGGGGTTAAGTCCAGCAGAATGACCCGCAGGCGTAAGTCCAACCCACTAGGGTTGGATTCAGCAGGGCTGAGTTCATCGGGTTGACTCATAGAAGCGAGTATAGCTGAGTTCTCCGGGTTTCTCGCTACGTGGGCACCGTCTTGTCCCAGCTGCATATCTTCAGATACGTCACCGTATCTAGGGTCGTTAACTTCAAGTGCAGTCTTTGGTAGGTTCTCTCCCATTGTCGAAATCTACAAGGTTTATTTCACGAAGTATCACATAAATATAAAAGAATATTATCACATCAAATCCCCTCCTAGGCACTCCAAACCTATCCTCCTATGCATCGGCCACATTCTGTGCCGCAACCAAGAAAAAATCCAACAAGCTCAGTATAGCTCCGGAAACGACATCGTGCACTGTGTCGAAACCAAATAAAACCAAGCAAATCCGACAAATCCTGGTCACGGCACCATTCTGTGATGGGCACGGGGTTGGGGTACCCCATACTTATGCAAACGGCAGTAACCCAAGGCGATTTGAAGAATCGCGCGAACTAAATTTAAATATTGACAGCGCAAGCAGTGTTGTCAAATTTGGCTAAAAGAAGTGATCGTCTAGAAAATTGAAAAAGGATACCCTACGTTGTGTTATTTTAGTTCGCTTCTAGATAGGTGGAGTAGCCAATGAGAGGAGACCTGATTAAGTAATAAAACACAATAAGTATGGTTGTATGTTTTCTCTATTCATTGTTTGGTTACAATAGAGTTTTTACAAAGGATTGGTTGACGGTATTTAGCGTTTTATGTATTGCAGTGTTTGCTGAATATTGGTTTTTAGTTAGCGTTTGTTATTTGGACTTTGTCATACCAAGCGTTAATAAAGCAGATTTATACATGTTACAAGTAAAATTTACCCCTCCCAACAATCCAACAGGTTATAAAATGAATATTATTGGATGCAAACCGTTTTGTCTAGTGTATTGAAACCTTTTATAGCTATCTAAACATATTCCGCTACAGTGTACATAATAAATGCATTCTCCACTAGGATAGTTTCCATATTACGTCTCACAGTATGACCCCTTTGTCGGTAAAAAACTATTGTCGAGCCCTAGTCTTTTGAAGACTAATGGTATATGGATCTTGTTGGGTTTGTGTTACCCAGTATTTTAGATTACATTATTTAATAATAATAATACCTCCTATAACCCTCTTCCCTATCGCGAGCAGGCACAATACATTAGACAAGCATTTTTCACGCCCGTCCGCCATCTTACGGAGCAAAGAGATGCGTAACGTACTCTCGGCTAAATATCCCCAAAACACAACAAATCTATATTATTAAACTTGGTTAAAGGATACAACCACCTTAGTTAGTTAATTTAAACAAGGTAAAGGATCATTTGAGCTTACCTACAAGGTTTATTTTACAGCACGAAAACCCACGACTCACTCGGACGGCCCTTTTCCTTCACCTGTTGCTTCCCTTCTGCCGCTCGGCCAGTTCTCGATCCCACCCAACCTACCGCGACAGAGCCGGCTTTAGCGCGCTCGGTTAAACAGGACCCCATTTGAAATATTCATAAAATACCAAACCGTACAACCCAAATAATAATACGTTATATAATTCAAGTATTTTTTTAAGAAAGGGCAACGCTGCTTTATTTTAAAAACTTAACATTAATTTAAATGTCTAATTTCGAATAGGTAGGATGCTTTACGTGTAGATGTATTCTTGGTTGCGTTTTTCTCGTTTGACGGAGGGCGGGTCAACACAATGTATTGTATGTAATGTGTCCTATTATCATTTTATTGTTTGTAATAAATAGCTTACTTTAACCTATTATTTTAAAACTTTTTGATATTATTTTAGTAAAGTTACAAAGCACTATAATGACGATATATTTTTATATTAAAACATAATAAATAATAATAAAGTGTTTTTTTTAAATATTTTTGGGTACCGATCGGTACTCGGGAACCATTGGTTTTAATTTTTTTCATATAAAGTTAGTTGTTTTAATTATAATGATCAGTCTTAATATTGCTTTATGTTGAGTATTAATAATGGGTTTTAAATTGTTATTAATATTTCTTCTAAGTATAATCTTAGTAAAGTCAAATAATTTAACTGATAAAGATGCTTTATCAGTTATGGTCTTTTTTTTAACAAACTTATGTATCCATATTTTTCACCAAATATAACAACCCTATCCAATGTTGATAAAAATAATATACAAAATTTATATGGATTACCCCCGAAAGCTACACCCAAAATAGTAACAACACCAAAAACAATCCCAACAACAAGAAAACTTACAGGTAAACCAAGAACAACAAAAACAATTTTAACAACAAGAAGACCTAAAATAACGGGTTCTATGCAAAAACCTACACACACATCATCAAATTTAACTGATTTATATCAATTCGAGTATCCACAACAAATAATAGTTACAAATAATAATCATCTGTATGTTTTTAACAATGGGTTAGCGTGGATTTTAAATAGGGGAGAGTCCTCTGATATAAATATCAAAACGTCAGGGTCTTAGACACCTGTCATTTTTGATTAATTCCGAACGTTTCCGAACCCCGCAATAACATCTCACCACTGTGAATATATTAATTGCAATTACAATTTTTAGGTTAATTTTGTGCGCCCCCAAAAATAAAGAATTTTTAACAACAGTCATTTTTGACACTTGTCATTTTTGACACCCGTCATTTTTGACACCTGTCATTTTTGACACCAGTCATTTTTGACACCAGTCATTTTTGACACCTGTCATTTTTGACACCCGTCATTTTTGACACCTGTCATTTTTGACACATGTCATTTTTGACACATGTCATTTTTGACACTTGTCATTTTTGACACTCGTCATTTTTGACACCCGTCATCTTTGACACCTGTCATTTTTGACACCTGTCATTTTTGACACCAGTCATTTTTGACACCTGTCATTTTTGACACCCGTCATTTTTGACACCCGTCATTTTTGACACCCGTCATTTTTGACACCTGTCATTTTTGACACATGTCATTTTTGACACTTGTCATTTTTGACACTCGTCATTTTTGACACCCGTCATCTTTGACACCTGTCATTTTTGACACCTGTCATTTTTGACACCTGTCATTTTTGACACATGTCATTTTTGACACTTGTCATTTTTGACACTCGTCATTTTTGACACCCGTCATCTTTGACACCTGTCATTTTTGACACCTGTCATTTTTGACACCATTCATTTTTGACACCATTAATTTTTGACACTTATCATTTAAGACACCTGTTATTTTTGACACCTGTCATTTTTGACACCCGTCATTAATTAATTAAATGATTTTTTGCATATATACCAAAAACCTAATGGTAGTGTGGTAATAATAGATAATTTAAATCGCGCTAGCTCGTTTTCCTTTCCTAGTCTTGCGTATGAAACATTTAATCAAACAATAGACAGTATTGCTCAAAGTAGTAAAATAAATGCTATTTTTAACTCAAACACGGGTAGAACTTATATCATTCATGATGATTATTGGGTTGCTGAAATTGATGAATGTGGTTTAAATGTAGTTAATAGGGGGACTATAAATCAGTTTTTCCCAGGAATTCCTCCAGATATACCTTCAGCATTTCGCTATACAAATAATAACATTTATTTTTTTAGAAAAAAAAAATTTTATGAATATAACGATTTCTCGGGTAAATTAATAAGAGCAGGAGTTTTTGATTGGAGTTTATTTGAAATAAATTGTCTGAATGAACCAATTTTAAATCACTTAAAAAACATATTAACAACCCTTTCAACATACTTTAATTGATAATTATAAAAGCTTAACTTTAAAAATCATTTCAATGTTGACTTTTAAGCATAAAGGTAGCGGTTTATTAAATTCTGCAATTAACAACCTACCCTTTGAGCTGCATGTAAAGATCACGATATTGCTTATTCAGAAAATAAAAGTTTGGCTGAAAGGCATAAGGCAGATTGGATTTTGGAAAATAAAGCTTGGCAAAGGGTGAAATCTAAGGACTCTAAATTAAGGGAGAAAGCAGCAGCTTGGTTAGTAACAACTGGAATGAAGGTTAATAGAAAACTTGGAATGGGTGTTCGAAAAACTCGAAAACCAATCTCATTTAAACGGGGTGTAAATGATAAAATTAAAAAACATGTTCAAGATTTAGATATATCCAATAAAAATTCACTTAAAAAATCAGCCGCAACGGCACTTAAAGCAGCTCGGGTGATTATAAAGAAAGCCGGGGGTCGTACAAATATTAAGGTGCCTAGGATAATTTCATTTGAATCTGACAAACAAGGAGGATTTTTACCCTTTTTACCATTATTAGGAGCTTTGGGGGCCATAGGATCATTGGTTGGAGGCGCAAGCGCTGTAGCCAAAACGGTGATAGACACAAACAATTCTAAAAAGAAACTTGAAGAATTAGGTCGACATAATAGGTCTATGGAGGAAATTGGGAAAAAAGGCTCGGGATTATATTTAAAAAGGAATGTCAAGGGAGGATATGGTCTTTTTTTTAACAAAAAAAACTACCAATAAAGCTACCCAATAGAGCCCTATATGATTCTGAACTGGTAAAATATGCTCAAAAGCTTAAACCCTTTTTTTAGAGGGGTTTTTATGCGAGACGCTTTACCAAAAATAAAAATGAATCTGCAATCCTAAATTTAGGCATTTCGAAAAATTTGGGTACACATTGGGTAGCTTATACTAAAAGAAACAATTCTGTTATTTATTTTGATAGTTTTGCTGGTCTTAAGCCACCAAAAGAATTAGTTATTTATTTAGGAAAAAATGTTAAAATTAATTATAATAATGATTGTTTTCAAAACTTTAAACAAATTAATTGTGGGCATTTATGATTGTGGTTTCTTAATAAAAATAAATGAGATAAGAAAATATGTTTAGTCTATTATTAACCGTTGTTTAAAGATAATGTCCCAGCTATTTACATTAAAAAGTAATAATTATGTTTTAAGTATCGATTTTACAAATCCAATACAACTTAATCCAGATTTTGACTACGGTATAGCATTAATAGGGTTTTATTCCTATAACAGTATCCCTAATATTGAAGAAGGCGAAAATACATTTTATTATAAAGACGCGAATGTGGAAAAGAAAATAATAATAGAGTCAAACCACGTCAAGTGGGACCAGAAAATTTCACGA